CATGAACTGAACCAGGAAATCGTACAGAACAAGCAATAATTTTACAATACATCATAAAAACGAACGTGGTTATATTTAAAACGAAGAATAATTAATAAAAAGAAGAGCATAAAAAACCACCGCACAAGTTATAGTTTGTGATATTTAATTGTCATTACATTAATTAAAACATTAAACGTTTCACTATAAAACGTATTTAAATTAATGTATCTAACATAAATGGTCTTATTTCCAATCTTATTGTTTATACACGCTCGTCTACAATGCGTAACTCTCTATACACATCGGTTATTGCGAGGAATATTGTTAAGATCTCGATGTCTAAAGGCTTAGGACGCTCGCACGAAATGCAAGAGATCGGTTTCGACTCCCGGCCGAGGCAATATTTTTCGCAATAAGTTTATTATTATATTGTTACGTTAATGATAGTTGATGGAACAGATATTTTTCTCTTATGTATCTATGTGTATCTCTTATTTTAATAGGTCAATTCTAAGCAGACTCGTAAGGCTCGCAACTTGTTCTCTAAGATTTGTAAGCTTTATAACTGGAGTTGTTTTTACGCATTATCGTAAAACATTCGTAAATGCGATTTCTCGTACAAACGGCTAACAAGAAGTTGTCTGTAAAAATATTATAATACATAGAGTTATAAGCACTATAGTTTGTCAAATATTGTAAAAAGTATTTCCGTTATTTTTATGTATAATGAACGTCGATATTTTATGTAGTGAACTTTTATTTGAAGAAGAATATAATAGTATTGTTAAAAAATATACTGACTGTAAATATCACTGTTAATATTATTATTATAAATATAACCAATTTTTAATCACATGCGAATGTTAAGAAGACATATAAGGAATGTTACAAACCCATTTGATATTCCCTCTATGCATTTTAAACAAATGTATAGATTGGATCAGCAAATTACTATAGATTTAATTCATAGAATTGAATATTACAATCCATCAAATTCAAGAATCTCCTTACATATCGAAGTAAGGATATATTTCTGAAATTTTTTAATTTGTACAGTATAATAAAAGTTATAATAAAATGAAATAGGAACAAAATGCATTTTGGAAGTCTGCTCCTCGCGTTATTTTGTCATAAATTTAATAAAAATGTACAAAATCATTATTTTAGATTTTATGAAAAGTGGAGTTGAGTAAGGTATATATGTCGGTCCTAATCCACTATATGTTAGTGTGTATACGTATACGATGTGCGTGCGTGCGTGCGTGCGTGCGTGCGTGTGTGTGTGTGTGTATGTGTGTGTGTGAGGGAACAGAGAGGAGGAAGTGCCTCACAGAAGTGAAGAACAGGGAAGTGTGTTCCCGGGGAGGTCCGTGTTAGAGGAGGAAAGATTGCATTTTCTATCCAACTCTCACGTTTTGTTTCTTTTCTTGCACGCAAAGATTTAAGATTTTTATTCTACCGAATTAATGAATGCAAATTGCGAACATTCAATGAGAATGCGATGACACCGTCATGATAACGTAGTAGTCGGCACGCATAGTGTAATATAAAACTGGCAAGGAATGAGCGAAGGAAAAAATAATAGGAAGGTAGCCGAATCATTTCATATCCCGGATATACAGTTCAAATATACATATATTTTAGCACAGTTTTTTTTACAAAATAGAATGAAAAATATTTAACTATTTATTATTTATTTCTATGCATATATGATATAACTATAAATTTATGTTTCTTTCACGATCTCAGATCTCTCTACACCATCATCGTCATCTTCTTTCCTATTTTCGCTTAATATATGGCTCATTGCCATAGCATCGTTCATCAAACCCTTCAAATACCTCTCACATTCTTCTACTCTATCAATTGTTTGCATAATCGTAGCATCTGCACAATCCCTGAAACATACAATATCAAGATTTAAATAAATAGATCTCATGTGCACATGGAACATATCGCATACAAAATAATACGAACTTGATCACGCTCAGAGCACCGCTGCGAATGAATGCACGAAACTACTTCATACACTTGATACTTACATCCCGTTGATACTTACATCCCGATCATATCGAGCCTAACGCAGTTACGAAGTCAGTTACAATGCTCCATGTCAATGTCTATGATCATTAACATATGTACATACATACTTATTGTTCCAAACAACTAATGTTCTTCTTCGCAACGCGAACATTAATCTGCAGTGAATCAGGTGCTTTCCGGGTGATGTTAGTAAACGTCTGATCTATTTGTTGCACAGTAGCTGATAATGCTCTGGCTCTATTGATCAAAATCGAAGCTTTCGCATGTAATATACTCACAGCGAGAGATTATGTATGTTCTCCATCGTATACAAGACTAACCAATAGCCTAACCGATTAGAGTTCGATTTTAAGAGAGACTACGATTTGACTAAAATCTTCGAATCTATTGAGAGAACGAACAAAAATTATTGCTGTCTAAGGGATGTAGAGTAGGGATATACGCTTGTAACAAAAAAGTCTAGACTATCACGGTAAGTTTATTGTTTTCATATCTGTACGTCTATCGTTTTTTTCATTACCAAAAAAGATTAACGAAGAATGTATTTCATTTTCTTTTAAGAAATTACCAAGTTACCTGACATGAAGGAAATGAGTCACTCACACTGTTATTATTGAATACCTTGCTTAAAATTTCCGATTGAAAACTATTTAAACTTATTAAAACCGATAGAATTTGAATAAGAATGAATAGGATCTATTGGAATTGAAATTACTGCCAATTGAAAATGAATTAGAAACAATAAGATTTTAATAGAATTTCCATTTAACACTATTTTCAATAAAAATGTATTGGCATATTACCGATTCAAGAAATGAGAAACCAATCGGATTTTATTGGACAATGAGAAATAACTCCAATCGTCGAATCGGATTGAGGACATACATTTTAACGAACCGAATCAGATCCAATCGTATCATTGAATAACAATAGATTTTTATCCGAAAACTCACCGATTGGTTTAATAGGAATCAACTGGTAAATTTACATAGTTTGCATATGGCGAATCAGAATGAATAAGAAATTGATATTTTCTAAATGAATAAGATTCAATAAGTTTTTGCGCGATTATCAATATATTTTAATCGGATAAACTGTTGAAGCCGAATTCAATGGGAATTTACTTGTGAATTCTTTTAACTGATTATCAATCATTGACTTAAAATCATCCTGAAGTCTCGACATGAAACGAATAGTATTTGATATGCGGTTATGTTTATTATTAAATTAATAAACATTTTTACTGAATAAATATTATTTTTATTAATTTAATAAATATTAGGTGTACAACTTTGCTTCTTTATGCCGTTTATAGATGGCTTTAGCGGTAAGTGGTGGTCGAAATAAATAGATCATAGACGTCATACAATAAACTTGGGCATCAACATAACCCCATAGAAACATTAGTCGATTTGTGTCTGCATCATAAAGTTATTCTCGATTGAAAATGTCAGTTTACGAATCAAATTGTCATTTGCGGGAGGTTTTAATTTTCTGCTTCAATATGAAGAAATCTGCGGCTGAGGCTCATCGAATGCTCTCAAATACTTATGGTGAAGCCACTATTAGTGAAAGAACGTGTCGTGAGTCGTGAGTGGTTTCAACGCTTCAAGAACGGTGATTTTGACGTCGAAAACCGGCATAGCGGTGGAAGAGAGAAGGTTTTCGAAGATGCAGAATTGAAGGCATTACTTGATCAAGACTCTTGTCAAAATCAAAAAGAATTGGCGCGATCATTAGGAGTGACTCAATCAGCCGACTCATGTGACTCATCATTTCAAAACGTCTCAAAGCCATGGGAATGATTCAGAAGCAAGGAAATTGGGTGCCGTACGAGTTGAAGCCGAGAAATGTTGAACGGCGTTTGTTTGCTTGTGAACAGCTGCTTGAAAGGCAAAGACGGAAGGAATTTCTGCATCGCATTGTGACTGGGGGCGAAAAATGAGTTCATTACAATAACCCCAAGCGCAGAAAATCATGAGGAGTTCCCGGTCATGCTTCCACGTCGACGGCCAAACCGAATATTCATGGCTCCAAGGTTATGCTCTGTATTTGGTGGGACCAGCTCGGCGTAGTGTATTATGAGTTGTTAAAACCGACTGAAACAATCACAGGCGATCAGTATCGAACGCAATTGATGCGTTTGAGCCGAGCATTGACAGACAAACGGCCGCAATACAACGAGAAACACGATAAAGTGATTTTGCATGCTCGATCCCATGTTGCGAAAGTGGTCAAGACATACTTGGAAACGTTGAAATGGGAAGTCCTACCCCACCCGCCGTATTCTCCAGACGTTGCTCCCTCTGATTATCACTTGTTTCGATCAATGGCACACGACCTGATCAGCACTTCTGGTCTTATGAAGAAGTAAAAAATTGGATCGATTCGTGGATCGCCTCAAAAGATGACCAGTTTTTTCGACGCGAGATTCGTATGCTGCCCGAAAAATGGGAGAAAGTAGTAGCCGATGGACAATACTTTGAATCATAAATGCATAACCAGTTTTTTACAATAAAGCCTCGAATTTCGAAAAAAAACGGCGGAAATAAAGTTGTACACCAAATATTAATTTAAATTTATATCGAATGTGGGGTTTAATAAGGTAAGTATAAATAATTAATTATCGAAGTAGAATTGAAACTATTTATTACTGCTTATTATATAGTTGATGATTAATTAGTAGTAGTATAAAGTTTATTTCAGCTATTGCCAAGAGGAACTTGGTTACAACGAATCTAAATCATTCTTCCATACCAACATTCTCATACCTTTTTATAACTACAATAGTTAACGCAAACAGCTCAAACATCCTACATACGCAAAATAATATTAAATATTCTCTTTTATCTGACATTCATTATTCTCTATTAAGTGCGGACATTTATAAATAAAATAAAATTCTTCAATATCAAGAACAACAAATAGTTGATTAATTAAAAATGTAACGCTAATGAGATAATTAAATATATAATATTATATTTTATTGTGCTTTGATTACATTAGGTGAAATGCATACATATGATAGATTATCATTTCCATTTGTAATATTTATGTTTATTAACTTTTTTTTAATTTCTTTGATTGATATAGTTGTTGTGGACGTATGTATTGATTCTACCTTTAAAATATGATTAATGTTGACGGTATTCGATGTCAACGGACGAGTTTCGAATTTTTTTTTTACAATTATATAACAGGCGCTATTAATTATCACAAAATGAGATATCCGAACGACTGTGAAGTCCTCAAGCTGTATTACAGTATTATCAGTGTGTTTTAGTCGCGTGTATGATGTTGAATGGAAAAATGGTATCTCTGTAGATAATATTTTTTAGTTTTGTCTGCTTCTGCACTATTTATAATTATTGCTCCTTCATCCGATCTTATTACATTTGGTGTACTTATTCATCTGTATAGAAATAAATTTGTACAATAGCTATTCTTAATGTCTCGAATACCCATAACACGGTTTGTTTAATTGTAACGTACGATTGACTATTTGTTCAAGAACGCCACTAGGACCAGTAACACGATTTTAAATAATTCAAATTTAAATAATTCATATCGCTTTCAAATGGAAAGGCTGATGTTGCCCATAACGGACCATTTTTTCTGACATTCTCCACGTAATGTAATAATACGTGCACGTTAAAAGTCATAAACTCTTTACCACATATACATTGACATTCACCGATAAATTGTAATCAATCTCGCATTGTATATCTTCTGTGATATTAGTAGACAATAAAGCATGTATGCTTTTTACAAGAAGCATATATGAATTCAGTACTACGTTAGACAGGATGCCATTTAAACATGGAACACTGTAATACAATAGTCATGATCGCTTTCCATTTCGCCCTGTCTTGTAATAGTCTCGGAAGACGATGAATTTCCGATGATGGTTTAATAGATATTAATCAAGTATCAATTACAGATTTATCAGATGACTTCAAATATGTATTACTCCACTTATCCCACAATTGTTTAATGATACCTAGCAATGTCCCATGCATATATTCCATTAGAAATCCCCATATGCAATCAAAGTGAGGTAAACACGTCATTTCCGATTGCCCTTTCATTGATTTACCTAAAACTCCACTGTCGCTAATATCTTTCAGATGTGAGAACGTTCTCACAAGCAGAGAATTGGATCCTCCTCAGTCATTATGTATCTGATACATCTTATATATTTACCAACAAAATAGCACCAACATCCGTAGTACCCGTTGAATTCGATTTTGCAAAATAGGATGCGCAGCAGAGTCAACTGGTATACATAGTAATATGAAATAATATGTAATTGTTTCACCTAAATTATTCTTTATCTATATTCCTCGATTCATTAACCGTTCAAGTTGTTGGAGAAAAATGGATAAGTAAATATTCATGATTTTCGATTTTGGTTCTTCAGTAGTGATCCATAATGATGCCAAAATTAATGCTCTAAATCTCATTTTTGAGGATAATTCATTAATTATGCATTGAAGAGGTCATATACTTTTTTTACTGCTCTCAAAGATAGGAGTACCATCGGTATTTATATTTAATGTTAAAACGATTTTATGTTCAGAATATTTTTTTTGTACATACTCGTTATTCAAATACATCAATCCATCTTGTATGTCAGATATTGAGTTGTTAGTTGTCAAACCACTATTTTTTAACTTTTGCATGGAGTGCATTTTCGCGTAATAAATGTTCAATATTCTTATTTTCCAATAAAGATCGGAGTTGATATTCCATATCAATACTTAAAAAATAATTCGATGAAATTGATAACATATAATCTTTTACACATTTTGTGTATCTTATGGATTTCTTCTGTCCAACATCACTCTTTAACATGGGATCACTGCAGAATAAAATACAGCATTCGGGACAATAAAATACATAGGTTACACATTTTTGTGTGGAGGATTGAATAATTTAGCAATTGAATACTTCGTCATTTGAAAATTTGTGAACTTTGACCCAGCCAAGGTTCATGCAAATTCGATAACTGCATGCTTTGCTTCTTGTGAAAAATTAAATCATAGTGCCATAGCTTGAATCATATTAAGAACCTCCCATGCACTCGTTAGATTCTTCAAACATTATCATGTTCTTCAAATATGTGGCATCTGTAAATCGTGTGCATCATCGTAAAAGCCACCCTCAGTGTTTTCTGACTCACAATCAGACATACTTTCTCGCTATCATATACGTTATTATTTGTTTCGGTATTAGTGTCGAAAATTCTATCGCTACTGCCATCGCTGGTGTTACTCACAATTTCTTCGTTGTCAAATGTTGGTACGTTTGGTAATGATTTATTCTTGGATGACGCTGTTTCAATATTGCAGTCAGAAAGTTCTATTGACAGCTGACAAATATCCGGGACGTACATTATCTGTTATATCTATCTTAGAATCATGTCTGATTAATTGTAAGCGCGATTCGCGACCTATAAAAAATAATATAAATATAATAAGTTGTGGGTTCTTGAAAGTGAAGACAACGAAGTGTCTTACAATAGACATACAGTATAAATACAAATTCAATCTATCCTAATCCCATTAATGTACAGTTTCAAAGTATTTCTTTCAATATTTTTCATGACAGAAACATGTATTAATAATAGAACGTTGAAAAATAACTCAGTTATTTATATTTATAGAATATTATATTAAAATATACATAACTATAATTATTTTTTAAATACAAAATACTTACCAGATTGTATTTTCATTTTCCATCTTCTTTGCGTAAAAGGGTGATATATAAAAAGGGTATTATGTAAATTGTCTTGCATTAAATAATATTTTCGTTTTTTTCTCCACTGTTTCGGTATTATCTTCATGTCTGCTCTATATATGAATTTATTTTATTACTTAATAAAAATCTTACAACAATAAATTAATTTTGTTATTTTGTTAATTAAAATCTTACAACAAATTATTAATATTTTGTCACTTACACATATTTATGAATTGGCTTTATAGAATTACAGAATATAATATTTTACACAATCATGTAAAGTTTTCTACAATTCTATAAAAGCTCATTCAAAAATACAGAGAACCTCTGTAAAAGTAACCCGTCGGGACCGGCCGACCTCCGTAAAAGTAAAATTTCCCCTTTATCCCCACTTTTTTCAATGGCACATTGAAAAAAGTTCTTGAGCAAAGTTCTTTTTTCCGCGAGACAACACAATATAGTATAATGACATAAACTTTTATAACATAACCATAACCAAAACAAGCCATGCGATTTAATAGACTTATATCATCAAATGTGTTAAAGATTTACATCATTATATTCGTGCAATCGGATTTTATTGGTTAGAATTGCATTATAGCGTTTGTAGCATCAAATGGACCGCTGCCTAAGGCACTATAAACGTAAATATTCGTATTCCATCATTTTCAATCCTTTCCCGGTTTTCCCATTCGTTGCTCTGTCCTCACTGCGGCGGAGTGGGAACACAGAGCAACGAATAGGGAAACCGGGAAAGGATTGAAAATGATAAAATGAGAATACCTACGTTTATACCCAGTGAGAAATGATCGACAATTCAACGTCGAATCGATTTCGACATCGATTTGACATCAATTCGACATTGAATTGAAGATTATTTCTCACTGGGTATAATAGTGCCTTAATTCGATCGATTTCTACACCTACTCCTTACTACTGCTACTGTCCACTGTAAACCACGTATAAGACTTAAAGCTTAGTTAACTATATACAGTGACAACCAATGGCAGGACGATTCTAGAAAAAAGCGCGGCTCTGATTGGCTATACCTAATGATAACGACAATCGTTATGATAAAACAGAAAATCCTGCCGCAACAGTGTCGTGCAGGAGCCAGGTATACGCGCGAGAAGTAAAAGAAACATGAAAATTACAAAAGAGTACAACGATATACTTAAAATGTAAGTTAATTTTATTCTATATTTTCGTTTATTTTCGTTTGAATGCTTGTATTCAGTACTTAACATAACAATTATTTGTTATGTAGCGATCGTTGTAAAACTTGCTGTCGATATAATAATAACTGGCAGAATTAAATAACATTGAACATTGCAATATATGCATACGTTAGCTTTAAAGATGGAAAGAGGGAGATTATAAAAACTGAAAATTCGCCACTTCGATTCAGCAAATTTCGACAAAACTAAATTATACAATATATGTTGGAAGGATGATCATTACTACGAGGGTGCCATTGCCTTTGTACGAGATAAAACCGCAGCTACTTTGTAATCGTAACCATATATATCTTTCAATTCCATTCAAATCATAATAATTCAAGTAACTTTGATACATTTATGATTGTATCCCCTAGAAAAAATGTTTCTCAGAATTTTTTTCACATGATCTTGTTAATAGGAAAATCGAATCATTAAAGTTGAAACAAATAGTAAGAAAGGCTTACAAAGATAATATTTCTTTTAAATTAAAAGTTGTGTATATCTATTCTATTAATTACATAAAAAAATTAATATAACTATGAATACAGGAAAAAAGAAAAAAAAGATGCTGCTAAATACAATAAATGCAACGAAGACATCACGAATAGGGATAAAACCAAGTGAGAAGTAAATTTGTCGTGTTGACACTTACCTCACAACCAACTCGTAAATAAGTGATGAAGTCAATGAAAAAGAGCAGCCTATTTTGAAAGAAAATACTGACCTTATTAAGTCAAAAAACCAAACAAAAAAAAACTTACAAAAGTAATATTTGAAAATCAATTATATATATATATCAATAATATTATTTATATAAAATATTGATTATGAATTATTAATACAGTAGAAAAACAAGGAAAGACGCTGATGAAACAAATGCAACTGAAGAAAAAGATGAAAAGAATGAGTCAATTGTTGCTAAGGTAAAAATTTAAGAAACTTATCCAGACAGCACACAATATTTATAAAATATTTACAAAATATTTATAAATATTTATAAATTATAAAAATAATAAGGCTCAATTTAAATAAATGAAAGAATAAAGCTACGAGCCTCAAATAACAAAAATCAAACAACAAAATAACAATCTACATTAAACGGTTAAAAAATAAAATAAAAAATGTCATGAAATTAAAAAAACGTAAAATATAATTTAACAGTCAGTAAGTGAACAAGAACAAACGTTTCGATCCCTGTTGGATTATTTTCAATGTGAAGATAAGATAAAAATGGATATAACATAGATAAAATATATAGAAATGAAATAAAATTCGCATATGGACGCAATATCAACTATAAAACTCGTCCCAAATTGAGAGAAAACCAAATAAACGATTGTAGTTGACATTGAACAAGAACAAACGTTTCGATCCCTGTTGGATTATTTTCAATGTGAAGATAAGATAAAAATGGATATAACATAGATAAAATATATAGAAATGAAATAAAATTCGCATATGGACGCAATATCAACTATAAAACTCGTCCCAAATTGAGAGAAAACCAAATAAACGATTGTAGTTGACATCAATGTGTTCCTCCGAACTGTGCGTGTGCAAAAGGACGAACATGTTTCTGTTAGCAAGTACAAATTGTAATAATAAATTAACGAACAGAATAAATAAAAATAATAAGAAAAGTACAATCGAGTCGCAAATAATAAAAAGAAAGGTACAAAACAAATCGCAATTAATAAAATTAAAATTAAAAGAAAGAGGCGAAAGTTATTTTTGATATTATGAGACATGTATAAAAGAATTATTAATGTCGATAGAGAAAGAGTAAAGTACCGTCATTCATTATATACAGGGTGGCCCATTTTAATCGATCCACCCAAATATCTCCAAAAGTATGCACTGTATCAAAAAATTGTTCAAACAAAAGTTGTTCAGGACAACGGGGGCCATCTTTGTGCAATATTAGTTTTGACCTTGAACTCAATTTTCAAGGTTATTTAAAGGTCAACCTAACTTTTTTAAATGGAAACCCCTATTTTTAATACCGGATTCGGAAAGAGCGGGAAATTTTACGTCCGAAATGATATTTTGTAATTTAATAGATTGACCTTCAGAAGGTCAAATATTAAAAAATCGTCCAGACGTTGTTTTCTTTGAGCATCAGAGGATTTATAGGGGAATAAATGTTTGAGTGGACTTGGAAGTCAACGACCTTGACCATCTTGACCGCGGCAAACTTTCAAGGTCATTCAATATAAATTTTTTGATGAACATCTTACTTTTAGCATTACCCAAAAACAACGATGTGGACGTAGTAAGTTCTGTTTTCTTTGGGGTGCTTGTTTACCGTGAGTCCCCTTGCCTCTCACGATTGGGGTGCTTCATTACTGTAAGTCCCCTTGCCTCTGACTTTCACTTTATTGAAGCAAATGTTCAAAATTGCCTCCATCAACTTCAAGACACAAATTTACACGCCTTTGAAAATGTTGCACTGCCCTTAGCAAAGTATCCCTTGGGATTACTGCGCAAGCGCGACGAATACGGCCTATCATGTCTTCTCTGGTTGTTGGTCGTTGTTTAAAAACAGCATCTTTTAAGAAGCCCCATAAATAGAAATCCGGAGGTGTCATGTCTGGTGAACACGGAGGCCAGTTAACTGGACCTCCTCGTCCAATCCACCTGTCTTTATAATTATTATTCAGAAAATCACGTACTATTCGCGCAAAATGGGGTGCAGCACCATCTTGTTGTAACCACATTCTCTGACGTGTCACCAAATCTACATTCTCCAAGAGCTCTGGTAGTCGTTCCCTAAGTAATTCTAAGTAGGTAAATCTATCGACATTTTCCTCAAAAACATAAGGTCCAATAAGGTATCCATTAATTATGCCACACCAAACCATAATGCTCCATCGATGCTGATGCTCAAAGAAAACAACGTCTGGACGATTTTTTAATATTTGACCTTCTGAAGGTCAATCTATTAAATTACAAAATATCATTTCGGACGTAAAATTTCCCGCTCTTTCCGAATCCGGTATTAAAAATAGGGGTTTCCATTTAAAAAAGTTAGGTTGACCTTTAAATAACCTTGAAAATTGAGTTCAAGGTCAAAACTAATATTGCACAAAGATGGCCCCCGTTGTCCTGAACAACTTTTGTTTGAACAATTTTTTGATACAGTGCATACTTTTGGAGATATTTGGGTGGATCGATTAAAATGGGCCACCCTGAATGAGTTTAGTACAATAAAATAAGAATAAATACCTTAGTATATGTGTCAAAATAGTATATTATCGATTAGACAATGTGATGGGAATCAAAATTGATCATCTCTCTAGGAAGCTAAGAGATAAAGTGAAATATGACATATAAAGACAGGAAAGTTGAAATGGAAAACTAAAACATCAACTTGAGTGGCATTGATATTCCCTTAGAGGTTCGATACCTGTTACAACTCGGGGAAAAATTTGGGCTTCCTATCGATAAATATAATAAAGACAGTACATTGATTGAATTTATTAAACATATCGAGAACAATATAATTGGTCGTCCTAACAATATTATTAACTTTCTTAGAAATAATTCCTTTCCATTACTCAACAGATTTCACAACAATTTTCCTTCTCCTACATTTACTGACAAACTGGTTTTTAAATGGTTACATACAATAAAAAGATTTATTGATAGCCATCCCAATATATTTATCATGAACGCCGATAAGGGTAATGTTACTGTTGCTCTAGACAAGGCTACGTATCAAAAATGGAGGAGATTCTCTCAGACACTAACACTTATGCTTCTGTTTATAAAGATCCAAGTAGAAAATTGACTCAGGACCTACGCACTTTGTTGGTGAGATGGAAGCGGGATCATTTTATTGATGAACAAACATATCGCAGATTACTTATAACTGATGGTATTATACCTAAAGCTTACGGTTTGACTAAAATACATAAGGATGATAACCCATTGAGAGTGATTGTTTCATCTGTCAACAGTCCATTATATTATTTTTCTCTTTTTTTACATAATCTGATTAGTGATAGTATATCAAAAGCTCCCAGTTACATTAGAGACAGTCTTCATTTGATTAAGCATTTAAATGGTATCCTGAACATGTATTGGCTTCGTTGGATGTAGTATACTTTACTTACTTTTTATTAATATTTCTGTTGAGCTAGCATTAAATAGCATCGATAGGAGATAGGTTTATATCTCGGCTAAGACAAGCATCCCAAAAAACGAATTTATTATTGCTGTTAGATTTATTTTAGATTCATCACCTTTTTTACCTTTAATAATATAACTTACAGACAAGTATTCGGCACTCCGATAGGTTCTCCGATAATCGCCGACATTGTAATGCAAGATCTAGAAGAAACAGCACTTAAAAAATTGTCAGTACAACCTTTGTTTTATTTTAGATATGTGGACGATATTCTTCTTGCGCTTCCAACTGATACTATCAATGACACTTTAAATATTTTTAACTCTTTACATACGAGATTGCAGTTTACGTTGGAGGTTGGTACAAATGGCAGATTAAGTTTTCTTGATACAATGCTTGTTATAGATAATCAGAGAATTATTTGACATTTATCATAAAAAGACGTTTTCCGGAAGGTTCCTTAATTTCCATTCAAGTCATCCTCTTTGCCATAAAAAAAGGTACTATCATCAGTTTCATTGACAAAATTATCATCCACGGTTCCAACAAAAAAATTTGATAGAGGCTATTCATACTTTTTTAAACAACTGTTATCCTCTTCCCTTTATTTTCTCTACAATTGAAGATTAAAGTTTCAAGTAAATTAAAGTTTCACATAATAACGATATAAAGGTACATAATAAAGATATTACACATTATTCACAGAGAAAGACAAATATTTTATGATTCCTTATGTCAAATCTATTTCTGAAAGTTTCCTTCCCATTTCTAGTATGTTTCATTGTAAATTAGCCTTTTCTATTCCCAACACATTAAATAGCTTTAAAGATAGGAAAAGATAAGCTTGATTTCCTATCCAATCAGAACGTTGTTTATAAGATCTCCTGCGATGATTGTGAGGCGAGTTATGTTGGTCAGACAAAAAGAAAATTGAGTACGAGACTACGCGAACATATCTCTGATATTAGAAAAATACGGGTTCTCCTACTGTCATAACTGATCATCGAATTAATTGTAATCATAATTTTAAATGGAACGATGTGAAAATTCTAGACTGCGAATCTTCTTATAATAAGAGATTGGTGTCTGAAATGATTCATATTAAAAAACAGGAACAGGGTCTTAATAGACAAAATGATACCGAATCTTTACCTGAAATCTATTCACAGATCATCCAATCTCTTTCTCCTTCTTAACTGCTTTCCTTCCTTATCTATCTTTTTCTCTCCCTACTTTCTCTCCCCTCTACTTTATTTTCCCCTTCTTATGTTCCCTTTCCTTTTTAGTTTTCCATTTCAACCTTCCTGTCATTATGTGTCATATTTCACTTTATCTCTTAGCTTCCTAGAGAGATGATCAATTTTGATTCCCATCGCATTGTCTAATCGATAACACACCATTTTGACACACATACTAAGGTATTTATTCTAAATTTATCTGTACTAAACTCATTATACATATACAATGAATGACAGTATTTTACTCTTTCTCTATCGACATTAATAATTATTATGTACATGTCTTATAATATCAAAACTAATTTTTGCCTCTTTCTTTTAATTTTAATTTTATTAATTGCGATTTGTTTTGTACCTTTCTTTTTATTATTTGCGACTCGATTGTACTTTTCTTATTATTTTTATTTATTCTGTTTGTTAATTTATTATTACAATTTGTACTTGCTAACAGAAACATGTTCGTCCTTTTGCACACACACAGTTCGGAGGAACACATTGGTGTCAACTACAATCGTTTGTTTGATTTTCTCTCAATTGGGAGCGAATTTTATAGTTGATATGCATCCGTATACGAAGTTTACTTAATTTCTATATATTTTATCTACGTTACATTTTCATTTTTATCTTGTCGTCACATTGAAAATGATCCAACAGGAATCGAAACGTTTGTTTTTGTTCACCTACTGACTGTCACATTACATTTTACGTTTTTTAATTTCATGACATGTTTTATTTCATTTTTTAACTGTTTAATGCAGATTGTTATTTTGTGTTGTTTTAAGCTCGTAGCTCTTTTCATTTATTTAAATTTATTGAGCCTTATTATTTTTATAATTTAATTCTTATTCTTAATATGATTAGCTCTTAGTTCACCTAAAAATTTAAATCAATTATATTAAAGAATTTTATAACAGTTGCAAAGCTGCTTGTTTTGCCGAGCACATTGAAATCATTCATTAAAAAAAAAAATCAATTTCTCTTAATTGCGATTCGTCGAAAGCAGTCGGACTGTATAAATTCACCGGTTATTGAATTTGGTATCTATAGCTTGTGCGATTAAAACCTTTTGGCAAGCAATCCTATAAAAAACTATTCAATCCTATTCGAAGGAAATGTGAAATATCTTATTAATTCTTGTTTAGCACTTTTTTGTATACATGGATATACGCCGATATAATCCCATTGCGTTTGTTCCGATTCATTCCGATTTGAAAAGTAAATCGGAAAACATCGGAAATTTCCGATGCATTAATCCAATTACAACCGATTCTAATTTTTCCAATCAGTTTTAATTGGAACTTTTAAGCAGGGTACACATCAAACACATTTTATTGAACTAGTGTATTGTAATAATACTGAAGTATATCGTAACAATATTGAATAGTTATCATTATTGATTCTTAATTACAGAAAAAGGGGAAAGAAATTAAAATACATTTTTAAAAATCTCATACTTTATTTTTTAAACTTGATGCATTTTTTTCTGGCGTTGCGACAACCAGTTGTATATTTTAAATACATTCTGTAACGCACAATTCTTAACATGTTTTCCATGTTACGGTATTAGTAACATCTAGATTATGTATAGAATCTATATCTTCGTAATCAGCATCCAGAGTCTCAATTGTCGAGTCGTCGCTATCGAATATACTAGCCAGCCGTTCGCGTCTTTTACATCCTTTAAGAGCCTAATATAAGAGCCTTATTGTCGTCATTCTCTTTCGCACCAATTACAGCCATTGTAATCAGGCGTTTCATTATACTGTACGATCATCCCGTCTTTCCATTACAATCCATGGTGATAAGAACTCAGCTAGGAAGCGCAGTCCTTTTTGGATTTTGTCGAGAAATTTCATGGCATGAGACGTGTAAAAATATTATAAGAGAATGGCTCCGTTTCTCTACACCGTCACTTCCTTCAAATTCTCTTCCGA